CGGTTAGGTTTCTCTCTTCTTTCAAGAGAGTTTTAGGAATTTCGATGTTACATTTTGTTCTGATTATTACACGATAAGATCAGCTGTCAGGTGAATGGACGCGGGGTGCAACCATATGAGGCACCATCATAATCGTTCATTCGGGCACGAGCAAACCGCAGTATCACTCTGTTCATGTTATTTGGAGCTCAACGATTTGCTGCTTCTTTCTTGATCGGTTGCACCGTAGCTATACGATGTAACTTTTTTGCACAAGGAAATTCATGATTATGACAAAGATTGTCCCTTCGGTGTTCGAACGATTGTCTCCCTACCACAACGTCCCGGGTTGCTTTTTGCATATACGATGGGCGATCCATGTACAGTAGAATGTGTATCTACGTCGTTATTTTCTTTCCGTCTATTGTTCATTGTTATTTGCTTAATTTGTAGTGTCGTGAACGTTCTTTACTTTGCCATTAATTCGTAAATACGGGACCGATGATCGACTAGCTTGAAATCTGACTAGGTATGCATCATAAAGGACTGTCCGGTAATCCCATACGATTCAAGATAATCGTAGTTCAAAGTGTTGTCAGAGTAAGTCAAAGTGTTGTTTACTATGTCTGGTGCAGAGACTCCAATAAGGTGTACATTGGAACGATCTACCGGAAGTTGAACGTTGAATCACAGAGCACAAGCATCTGTCTACGGTACACGTCGGATAAATGGGCAGTTATGGTATTGCCTAACATGCGATCACCCAAGGACACTGTTTCAGTCAGACCAATATGCCTATCATTGACAAAGACCATTCTAAATCAAGTGTGTTCATAAAGGAGTCCTTGTGCATACTGTCAATACATACAAAAATCGGATATGCAGTGAATACGCATCTTCCGTGATTATTAGTTAAACCTGAGGCGCAATCTCGAATGTCATACGAAACATTGGGTCAACATAACAAATATATGTTTACATTTTTAATGTGAACTTTGCGTTGTTCATTCGTTAAAATTTTGGTCAAGCAGTTTAACAGGGCTTTTTTGAAAGGTATGCGCCAATTGTAAACAGTAGTATTTTTCATTTGTTGCATGTAAGTATCTTCAATCAGCCATTTACGCTCAGCCCAACTCTGATGATGCTACGGCCTCTATTGTAAAGCGCGTTTGGTAATGAAGGTTTTGCCATCTACTAAATGATGCCCTGAATCATCAGTCGTTTATTTATACAACTGCGGGCCCGGAATGAAGAACCTGAAGTTTTAATTTATAATCGTGACTCATTTAAAGACGTGCTTTATTTAATTGTACCTGTTTTTAATCTAGCGGTCATGCAGTGCTGTGGGCTCGTGATCACAACTGCAAAACAGATCTTTACAAAGAGCAAGAACATCGGCAGGCAGTCAAGGAGCCAATTATTTAAGTATATTAAGTAATTTAAATTGTCGCCGTCTGGAATCAAGTAGGTTTTACTTATCTGACTGGCGTACTTATGGCTCTGTAGGAAAGACCTATCGGAACTGTATTCCCAACTGAAAGCTGATAGTCACCTTTGGATGCTGCAATCTGTATTAACTTTATCCTGCTATCCTCTCTGCAATAAATTTATATCTTCCTCTAGCCGGTCAAGATTGGCGGTTTTCACAACTTAAACTCACCATGGAATAGCGTAGCTTGCTTAGACAGTTCTACTAAATGAAACCGTCAAATATGAAAGAACACTACGCAACTCTGGTCCTTTTCTGCTTTTTCTGACCGTTTACAGCAGTACTTGACTCTTATATTCTCATTGCCATTTGTTAATTTGTGGAAATTCGTTATCTGTGCTGAAAAGCAAAACTTTCTTGATCCAATTCAAGTTCTGTTATAAACTTATATCACTTCGGCCTCTAACAGCATAAAAACGCGGCAGATAAATACTGTTGTGACAATGCTATCGAATATTTACTTTTGTTGCTATGCGCAAAATATCACAATTATTAGTTCATTGCTCCTTTCACAGTCACGTGTTTTAATACCTTAATATTGTTTATTTTATTTAAGTGTTTCTTGTTTCTCTTCTCGACTGAACTTTTTGGTGCTTGTTCAAACTCATTTTTTTCATGTTTTACTACTGTTGCCTTTGCCATATTGGAGATTATGGGTTACTTTTGAATCGCCCTAAACAGATAGCGAATTTCTCCGTAGGACAGTGTAATTGACTGCCATGTATGAAGAGCAGCAACTGACAGTAGCATACTTTTCGAAACCGGGTTTTGAAAGCGTACCTACTCAAACTGCGTAAAAAACGAGATAGCATAACCATTACTAATTGATCTGACTATGATACTTGAGGGACTATTCTTTGCCGGATACCGGCTTTTTATCCATAACAGCATGAAACCGAACGACAAACAAATATTGCTCTTCAACCAGCATCGCTTTCTCAAAAAGCCGGTTTCGATGGTTTCCAAACCTTTCGGGTCGAAGGGGTAGCAGCGTCAGACAGTGGGTCCAACGTTTGCGATCATGTGACAGCGTCTCTGCTTTGCCAGAAGACAGCCCAAAACTGGAGCAGATTCCCTCAAGGTATTTGCCCTATGTCATTCTTGACGGCCCCCGGCTCAGCCGATCGATTGAGCAAGTTGCATTTTCCTTTCTGGAATCATTCGCAAAACGTGCTAAAACTGTCATAGCTGTAACTTCTCAATTTCTCAAGGGCTGTAAATCAAAACTCTATCGAATATCGGAACTCGTGATTCCTTCGAGATACATCAACCCAAAGATTCGTCCAAAAATTAAGCAAAGGATCAAATCCACAAATTCGTTTTTAATCGAAATGCAGGCTTCAGAATCATGAATCATTCTTATTACACTCAACAGCCAACAACGATAAAAAATGCAGTTATTTTTCAATTTCCAACCAATAGCTGTAACTTAACACTGGGATCTGGCGAAATGAAAAACTTGACATAGCTGCTTAGACACAGGCACAGATGTTTAGCTGAAAACTGAATCATAAGTCTACTACAACAGCAGCACATTTACGAAAATTTCACTACGAATAAGCAGTTGGCCTAAAAATAAGGCTCCCTAAAACAAATGTACAGTAAGCAAGGCTTTGAGCTTTCGCAGTGTCATCAAAGTACAAAATACAAAACAACGCGAAACAAGCTTCTTTCATATTAAGACCATAAGAACCGAGTAGTCGTTCCCGGACCGTGATGTTGCTCCATGATTTGCGGTAATAAAGGGAAGCGAAACCGCAGTTGCCAGCCACTGCACTTTGAACTATTTGACACACTGGCAATAGCAGAGATAACATATACGTAACTAGCCATGACTTCGCTACAAGTCGATTTTAGGATGTTGTCCTTGAAAAGGCGGCAACCCGTCGTTCAGCCCTTCGGTTTCGTCCAAACATCGGTGGTAAAGAGAGTGGGAGTCGACAGAAATCGGCATCGTAGTCGGCTTAGCCGTCGGCTCGTATAACAATATATTCATCGCCTCTTCGTATATCCTTGCTTCAGGGTACTCAACCTATATATAACTAGTAGGTAACGAGGTAGTGATCGAAAAAAACTACAATTTATCAAAGGGACCAAGAATTTTTTACAAGCCAGGAAAAACAGCGGTGGTTGACAGTTAAAATAACGAGTAGTGGTTCACTGGACTGCTCCATGAACAGCGTTATAGTCACAATAACAGGACACTGAATATCAATCAAGGAAGACAATTAATCTGCTAATCGCAGAAGGCACTCATCCATCCAATTTTTCAGTCTGTCATCGGTTGAATTGTAGTCGTGAAAGGAACAGTGTTTTCAATGGTATATAATTTCATTCTATCCAATAAGCAACTCGTTCTACCGACAGATCCGCTATCCGTCAACGATGACAAACAGAAACAGCGAAAAGCTGGAAAGGAACCTCAAGAAATTTAGAAATAGTCGTACAGGCATCACCGTCGAAAACTTGCATGCATGCAGTTTGCCTGAAAAGGACGCGAAGATGGGTGAAAGAAACAGCCATAGCAGCTGGATACACCAGTAATCTCCTTTTGAACAGCATTAAGCGCAATTATGAACCAGCTTTACACTTTAAACTCGACAGCAATTTTGTGAATATCCACATTTGGCACTTTCTATGACCGCCTAGACCACAGCCTATTTTTTTCAATTAATCGACGTCCAGCTTAACAACGTGGCAGTTTCTTACCATTTGGAAGTGAATATTTTTCAAGAGCAATTTCATCTGGTATCTGACTGATTTAAGACTCAGTTGTACTGAATCAATTTCAGAAGATTCATAACACTGCGATAATCATGTTTCAAAAGCACAGACTAACCAACTTAGATTCAATGCCTGATTAAAGTCCATTTTCACGTTTTAAAGCCGCGAGTGATCAGTCAGAAATGGGGCTATTCTCAGCTAGGTGAAATTTCGAATTCGCCGACTTGGACGTAACATGTTCGGGACAGCGAAATAATCGTTGG